GGTCTAGGAGCTCAAAGTAGCAATCACACTTCAATTCTCAAACAATTCCAAGCAATTCAAGATGAAAACCAACTCCTCAAATCTCTCTCTCTCTAAGGTCGGTTGAGGCAAGAAGAAGAGAAGAAATGTTTGGTTTGATCACATACGTGGAGTGTAAAAGGCTCAAGAGGTGTGATGTGGTGGCCACTAAGTGGCGGAACGGTAATTAGGCCAAACTATGCGATTAATCGATATTTAATCTAATTTAATCATACCTAATCAATTTTCAGATAAATATACCATAAAATCACATAAATTATGAGGGTCATAAAACACTAATCGGTTTCGGGTTCGGCCGCCGATAAGGCCTTCAATTAGCAGTTTAAACATATGAACATGAACAGATAATCATACAATCAAACAGATAGAATGCAATTAACTAACATATACTCAGTCAATTCAGTTTCAATTTCAGTCAGTCAGTTCAGTACTTTAATCAGTTCAATTATCAGTCAGTTATCAGTCATTATCAGTTCCGTTTAGCAGTAATCGGTGATTATCGGTAACCAATCGGTCATTAATCAGTAAACAGTATGGGGGTTGTTACAGCGCTCTCCTTCTCTCTTCTTCCTGCCCTGAAAACTTTTGAGGGGAAGCTGCCCTCACTGCTCTCTACACTATCAATTGTGCTCCTTCCCCTGTCATCCATAACCAAACTCCCTTTGAACGTCTGCATGGCACTCCCCCTCTATATGCTAATCTTCGGGTTTTTGGCTCTGCCTGCTTTGTTCTCCTTCAATCTCATGAACGCACCAAGCTTGAACCGCGTTCTCGTCTTTGTTGCTTTCTTGGGTATGGAATTGAACATAAAGGTTTTTGCTGTTGGGACCCTCTCTCTAAACGTCTTCGTATCTCCCGCCATGTCGTTTTTTGGGAGCATCAAATGTTTTCCTCTCTTTCCTCCTTTCACTTACCTGCACTTTCCACTAATGTACTGTTTACTAATCCTTCCATCGATCTCTTCTCTGATGATTTTGATACAGGTCCCTCCTTCATTGAGACGCCCTCGCTCACTCCTGCTCCCGACCAGACTGCTCTCCCTGAAGGTCTACCTCTCCCTGCACCACCTTCTTCTCCACCGGTTCTTCCTCCCACCGATCCTCCTACGGGTCGACCACACCGGGTAACTCAACCTCCTATCCACCTTCGTGATTATATTGTTGGGTCTACTGCCTTTTCTACTTATGAACCTACCTCCTATTGTGAGGCTTGTACTAATCCTCTTTGGCAGCAAGCTATGACTGATGAACTTCAGGCTTTGGACAAAACTTATACTTGGGATCTTGTTGACCTTCCTCCTGGCAAAACTGCGATTGGCTGCAAATGGGTTTACAAAATCAAGACTCATTCTGATGGCTCTATTGAACGCTACAAAGCTCGTCTTGTTGCCAAGGGTTTCAACCAGGAATATGGGATTGATTATGAGGAAACCTTCTCCCCTGTTGCTCGGCTTACCTCTGTTCGCAGTTTACTGGCTGTTGCTGCTGCTCGCCACTAGGAGCTTTTTCAAATGGATGTCAAAAATGCCTTCCTCAATGGTACTCTTCTTGAGGAGGTCTACATGCAACCTCCACCTGGGTCTACTTTTCCCCCTCATAAGGTTTGCAAACTACAGCGTGCCCTCTATGGCCTCAAGCAAGCACCCCGCGCCTGGTTTGCTAAGTTCAGTTCTACCATTCATGACTTCGAGTTCACCTCTAGCTCCTATGACTCTGCTCTGTTTATACGGACTACTCCTCATGGTACCACTCTTCTCCTTCTGTATGTGGATGATATGATTATCACTGGTAATGATGCAGCTGATATTCTCCACCTCAAACGTTTTCTCCACCGTCAGTTTGAGATGAAGGATCTTGGTACTCTCAACTACTTTTTAGGCCTTGAAGTCTCTCATGATTCTACTGGCTCTTATTTATCTCAGGCCAAATATGCATCCGATCTTCTGGCTCGTGCTGGTCTTACTGATTGCAAAACTATATCTACTCCAGTTGATCCTCAGATTCGTCTCACTCCTCTCGATGGGGCTCTCCTCCCTGATGCTACTCTTTATCGTCAGCTCGTCGGTAGTCTTGTCTATCTCACAGTGACTCGTCCTGACATTGCCTATGCTGTTCACATTGTTAGTCAGTACATGTCGGCTCCTCGCACTCCCCACTATACTGTTCTACTCCACATCCTTCGATACATCAAAGGTCTCTGATGCTGATTGGGCTGGGGATCCTACGGATCGACGCTCCACCACGGGATTTTGTTTCTTCTTAGGGGATTCTCTTCTTACTTGGCGTAGCAAAAAACAATCCCTCACTGCCCGTTCTAGCACCGAAGCTGAATACCGAGCCCTTGCTGATACTACTAAGGAACTTCTCTGGCTTCGCTGGCTCCTCACTGATATGGGTATTTCCTCTTCTGGCGCTACCCCTTTTTATTGTGACAATCAGAGTGCCATTCAGATTGCTCACAATGATGTTTTTCATGATCGCACCAAGCATATTGAGATTGATTGTCATTTCATTCGACAGCATGTTACACGTGGTACTGTTCATCTTCTCCCCATTGCTTCTGCCGATCAACCTGCTGATATTTTCACCAAGGCTCATCCTCCTGGGCGCTTCCGTGCTCTTGTTTTCAAACTCAACTTGGTCGATGCCTACCCTCCTTGAGTTTGCGGGGGGTTGTTAACATATAATATACTATACACTATAGTGTATGTGTAGGCTGTAAAAGAGCTCATCCACTACCACCTTCAGCTTTGACAGACCCACTACCACCTTCAGCTTTGACAGACGCCTTTGTATTATTTTAATGTATATTTGTATGCTTTCGGTGCTTCAGTATTCCAATTGTCTCCCTCTCCTCTCTATAAAGAGAGAGGGCTCATTCTCTTGTATTTACACACAAACATAATAACAGATAGTGATTATACAAATCTGTCTTTCCAGTCTCTCTCTTTTCTCTCTCCCTCCTTACCAATCTTTCACCCTATATCCGGTTACATCTGGTCAAACGGATTTATCTCCCATTATATACCCCATTCAAACTGAGCCAAAGTGTGCTTCGTTGAATTATACTTTCATTCACAGTAGGTTTGTTAACTATAAAGAAGCCTTCTCAGCATTAGTGTTTTGAAAACAGTTTTCTATAAAATAACAACTATACCAAATGCTGCAGTAGTAGAGAGCATAAAGGCAGAAAGTTGTTGCTTCTCCTATAGGTTTTGTGTAAGGTATTATTGAGCTCAGATAATGAGACCACAGTTTTTCATTTCTTCCTCCCCACTCAGTAAGAGGTGATTGGTTTTGTGTAAAATTATTTTATTGCCTTTCTTTTGGAAGCCAGTGATGATTTCATAATGTTAAAAGTCGGTTAATTAGGCAAATTTCATTTTCAGCCTAAAGATGCAAATCAAGAGTGAATGAAAAATATGGGCACATTGAAATGGCAGAACAGAATAAACCAGCTGATATATATACAATTGCTGAAAATTAGGGCGGAGAAGAGAACAAATCCATGCAAACTTTAATTGTTTTCAAGAAAGGCTATATTAGTTATTTGATGAAGGTTTGTCATTTTTACTTTTGATTGTATATTTGGTTGGAAATTTTTTTAATTGTTTTGTTTAAAAATGTTTTTTTATTTTTTAAAAATTACAGTGACAAATTAATTTTTTTTGTTAATTTTAAATAAATGTCCAAATAATTTGTCATTTTGGTCTCAAAAAAATATTTTCTATATTTAAAAAATATAAAAAACAAATATTATATATATATTTTTTCAGATAAAAACACTGTTCCGGTCAACCGGCCCGACGTTCGGGTAGAGCCAAAAATTCAAAAACTGTCTAGGACCAAACATATTTTCTTGAAATTGATTTGGAATCATAATTTGAAATTTATAATCACATAGGGTTGATTATTAGTGTGGAATCATGGTTTGAGAATCAAACCAACATAGCTAATATGTTTACGATATGAGATAAATTATATATATTATAGGGTCACTTGTAGCATGTTTGATTAGGGTAGAATATATATTATTAGGGTAGAAGTATCAGTGGATGAATGATAACAACTCATATCATGTGATAAAGGGTAAAGATATTCAATATCATGAGAGGTGGTATGCATATCTGGTACCAAATAAAAAAGATATTAAAAAGGTGAGATCCATATGTTTTTCTTTGTTCCCTATATCCGGTTACATCCGGTCAAAGGGATTTATCTCCCATTACATACCCCATTCAAACTGGGCCAAAGTGTGCTTTGTTGAATTATACTTTCATTCACAGTAGGTTTGTTAACTATGAAGAAGCCTTCTCAGCATTAGTGTTTTGAAAACAGTTTTCTATAAAATAACAACTATATCAAATGCTGCAGTAGTAGAGCATAAAGGCAGAAAGTTGTTGCTTCTCCTATAGGTTCTGTGAGACCACAGTTTTTCTTTTCTTCCTCCCAACTCAGTAAGAGGTGATTGGTTTTGTGTAAAATTATTTTATTGCCTTTCTTTTTGGAAGATGATTTCATAATGTTAAAAGTCGGTTAATTAAGCAAATTTCATTTTCAGCCTAAAGATGCAAATCAAGAGTGAATGAAAAATATGGGTACATTGAAATGGCAGAACAGAATAAACCAGCTGATATATATACAATTGCTGAAAATTAGGGCGGAGAAGAGAACAAATCCATGCAAACTTTAATTGTTTTCAAGAAAGGCTATATTAGTTATTTGATGAAGGGGGAATTTCAAATCAGTGTAAGTTGAAAAATAATCATAAATTAATCATAAATTTTATCAATATTAATAATTAAAATTATAAACTTTATCATAAACTTTATGTAATAATTTTTTGCAATAACCACTGACAAGTAATTTCCCCTTTGATAAAACACCTCATTCTACATGCCAAACTATATTAGTTATTTGATAAATACCTCATTCTGCATGCCAAAGTAAGGCAGAAAAACAAACACAAAACAAATAAAACAAATTGTATACCAATAGAGGAACACAGGCATTCCAAACAAACAGAATTGGGTAAAATCAAGTAGATGTTGGCAGCAATATGCAGAAAAAAATACTTCAAAGTTATTTAGAATTTGAAATACGTGGATATATTTTCCATGTATAGCTCGCATTACATCAAAGTTCAATCAAATTCTCGGAGCTGAGAATCGGATTGGTGTTGAAATCGGACGATGTTTCAGTCCACTCATTGCAAACCCATCACTTTTTTGTACAGATTTTCTTGCTTTCAATGGCGAAACCAACCTGTTTGCCAATCTTGATGGCGAAAACGATCTCCTCAGTTTCGCCGCAGTCGATTCCTTGGGAGTTCTCTTGCTCAAACCTCTGGTGGGAGACAGAGAAAGAGGTAGTATCGGGGGAGACTTCGTCCTGATCAAGAATTTATGTGGAGTTTGGCGATTCCTAGCGATCATCGGAGACTTTGTCTTGCAAAACTTGTGATGATTTGAAGTGGGTGATGATGAATGAAACAATGGGTTTGGAAAAAGTACTGTCTTTCTAGCCCATGGCCTATTTCTTGGTGATACTCTGTTCGCCCAGTACCAGCTATTTTCCTTCTCAGATTCCTTCTTTTTCTGAGGCGATGAGGCCTTGAAATTGATACGAGATCGAGCCCTTCGGAGGGTTGGTGAGTTTGATTTTGATCGAATTGATTGGAGTGAGTTTTGCTTCTCTCTGTTTCTTCGAGCTCGGAGCTCTGAGTTTTCAGGGTTTGGCCTCTGTTTTTGCCTCAGAGTCACCGGAGTTTTCGGGTCGTTTGAGAGGGGTTTCTTGGTCTTGGAAGCGACTGTTGCTACTATTTCTCTTGCGAATTGACTTGCCTGAAGAATTTCTCCGACTGTTTCTCCGACGAGCATTGCCGGCAATGACATTCTCTGCCATTCCCCTGTATTCAAGACAATCAATACAAGTGAGTCCATAAGCCCTGTTTTGTTTTCTGAATTTCAGAGAGAGAGAGAGAGAGAGAGAGAGAGAGGACCTGTATTTGTTGGCAACTTTCCATTTGGAGATTTTCGAGGATTGCCATTCTTGATCCTTCAAGTAACAGAGAAAATTCAGAGAAACCCACTTGAGTATCAAATGAAAAAGAGAAGAGAGTTCGAAATATACCTCAAGCACTCTTGTTTGCACCTGAGACTAGCCTTGAGATAACCTCTGGTACTGCGAGGACTGAGACTCACACCAGAGATCGTCTTCGTCCCACCTGTAACTGTGTATTGAAGCTCTTGCAATCTAGCCATACACTTGTCCACCTTCACAACAACAACAACAAAAAATATTCCCAAAATTACACAAACCCTTGTGAGAGTCATCATTTAACAAAAGTAGAAGAAGAAACCCATGAATAATAATCAAAAACCCACCATCAGTACACACACCTACCTTGTTAACTGTTTCTCTGAGAAGGGTGGGGTTGAGAGGAGCCACCATTCTCCTCAGCTTTGGTGGGGTTCTTGCAACCATTTTTCTTTTGTTTTTTAAAAACAAAAACACAAGGAAACAAAAAGTGGGTTTGGGATTGATTTGATCCTCCTATCTGTGTTGTGGGGAACTCAAACTCAAATCACTCTCACTCACTTTGTTTTGGAAGTCAAGTGTTACGGTCGAAACAGGGAGGGGTTCTGGTTTCAACATGAACGGGTGAATACTTTTGGTAACGGATACTTTCCATTCCAACGGTCGAATTCTTCCTTTTTCCACCTTAAAACGTATGCGAAACGGCCACCAATTTAATATATAAAAATAAATATAGAGTAATACTACCATGAGGTTAACCTCATGCTGTTTCTCTTGGGCTCGCCCATTAATTGGTCCTATATGCAACGTGTCATTAATTTTCCACACCCCCACCCAATTGTATTTGATTCAGCCAAACGCTAACAACCTCCCTGAAAAATGATTTAGACCTTTAAAAAAAGACCTCTAATGGAGTTTTAATTTGTCTTTTTTTTTTTTCCTTTTTTGTCTTTTACTTCACTATTTTTTTTTTTATTGCTAGACAGCTCATTAGAGCTGTGCTGCAGAAGCTCTAATTAGAGCTCTGCAGCAGCTCCGATATATATATATATATATATATTGTTTAGGACGAATTATCCTAACAAATTTTTTTTTCCGCCGTCGTCGTAGTAGTAGTTGTTGTTTGGAATTCGTGTTATTTTGATCATTTTTCAATTGTTATATATTTAATCTTGAATTTTAAATTTTATTTCAAATAAATACAATTAAAGGAGAAATTTTTGGGTGCAGATAGGGTACGTGCCATGTGCTATCTTTCTCTTCTCTCATTGGTTGAAAGAGTAGACTACATTTTATGTGTTGGGTAATGGGGGTGATTGTTCAGTACTCCCGGAGTATGAACATGTGGTGTTCCATAAGGTTTTGATTGGTGAACAAGGGCTCACGATTTATGTTGGAGATGAGAGAATAACATGAGGCTAACTAATTAGTGATTGGTTTGGAGTATGGACACGTGGTGCTCCGGGAGTATTGAATAATTTTCCGAGTAATGGGGAAACAATATGGGCGGCCATGGTATTTGTGATTGGTTAAAGTCACCATGTGACATGCCACATGGTACCCTCCTAACACTCATGAATTTTTTCAATTAAAGATATCATTGCTCAATTTCAGCAATAATGTATCAATTTGATAAAATATAAACTAATTTGATAAAAATAAATGTCAAAAAAATATTTTTGAATTTTTAAAAATTATTTCTTCCTATCAAAGATAAAATTATATAAAATTGATATATCTTTTAAACATTTGTTTATTTGTTTATTTTACTAAATTAATTTTTGTTATGTGTTTGGATGATGATAATATGACAGGTGGTTGTTATGCTTTTAATGTGTAATCGATATATTTAATATATAAAATGTTTTTAATTTTTAATTTTTTGATTTAATCGATTAATTTAATAATGATATTAAAGTTATCGTCATATTTAACTTTTAGAAAAATAAAAACTAATTTAATGAAAATAAAAACAACTACTCATTACATGATCATCATCTAAACACATAATAAAAATTAATTTGATAAAAAAAAATAAATGTCTAAAAGATTTGTTAATTTTACATAATTTTATCTTTAGTGGATAGAAATAATTTTTAAAAATTTAAAATATTTTTTTGACATTTATTTTTGTTAAATTAGTTTATATTTTATCAAGTTGACGTATTTGTCCTTAAAATTGAGCAATGTTATCTTCAATTGTCCTTATTTAGAATAAGATTCAAAATTTAAGGTCAAATGTGTTACATTGAAAAGGCATGGACCAAAGTGACACAAGGTTCAAACTATAGGGACCGCTAGTATAATTTATCCTATTGTTTAATATTGGAAAGTGTGTATAAAATATCTTGAATATTAATTTCAATAAAAGCGTATTGAATTTAGTGATAAGTGCTTTGTATTGTTCAAATTTTTTGTTTTTTACTATCCTAAAGACACTTGTTAGTAAGATCATTTGATTAAATATATTTATATGTATAATTATTTAAATATTAAAATAATATATTTAATATTTAATTTTTATTTCCACTAATTATGTTTTATTTTATATGTTTTAACTCTCATTAATTATAAATTATTATTTATAATACATTGTATTATTTGAGTGTTATCACTACAAAAGATTAAAGTTTTAGAGATCAAAATTTAGAGACAAAATTATTTTTTAGCGATAAAATATTTTTGTTGCAAAAAATGTCTTCATTATATTTTTACCAACGAAAATTAAACATTAATGATGAATTATTATCTTTTTGGGACCAAATTTTTTGTCTAAAAAAATAAACCATTTTGAGACCAAATTATATTGTTCTTAAAAGTCTATTTATTAGTGACATTTTCAAAATTTTGTCTCTAAAAGCCTTATTTTTTACTTTTCGGGACGACCTTTTAGCGACTATCCTTTTGACGATAGAAATTAGTTCCTAAATATCTTTTGCAACAAAATTTTCACTTTTAGAGATTAAAATATTTAGTCTTTAAAACTCTTATATGTTATAGTGTATGGCCACTCCAAATGGATTCGCTGTCTACGCCTATCAGTCATATTTGTGTGGTCTCTTACTATGGTTTGGCAATACAGCAAATAAGTAATTTATTTGTTATAAGTTGTCATATTATCTCTTTATGTTTTTATATATATTTTTTTGGGTAAAAAATTAAGGGGTTGTTTGGAATGACCTAAATAATTGTACTTTTTATCTTTTTACGAAAAAATATGCAAAAAAGTAGAGAGATGATGTGATGGAAAAAAGATAAAAAGATTGATTATTTTTAACTTCCCAAACTTGGCCTAAATCTTAAATCACCCCTTAATAGGGTGGTTGGACTATTAATCTATAGGGTCCATCAAAATCATGTTTGGCTATATTAAAAAGGTAATGTTAGGAATAACAAATTTTCTACTAAACAAGTGATCAAATGTCTTACATGGGTGTGAGGTCTGCAATTTTGTGAACCCCACATCTATGTAAGACATTTGATCATTTGTTTGATAGAAAATTTGAGATAACATTTTTCATATTATTAAGGATAGGATCATTGGGCGTGGGGATTATTAATCCAATGTTCTTGGGTTGAAGGTGAAATAGCACTTTGCTCTCTTTTCATAAAAAATAACAAAGTCATTTTTATATAATGAAGACTTTTACGAAATTTTATAAATTTAATTCCAATCAATTAATATCATCACTCTAATATATAAATAAATATATTTTATCTTATATCTTTAACTGAATATCACAATAATAATAATTTTCTCACTTAATCTCACCAAATTTATAATCTCATTCAACCTAATTCGTGAAACAAAAGAGGCCATAAATAATTGTGTATAGCAGCTCAAATAAAAAATGACTTCTTGTTTGATTTGATGAAATTATTGAGTATTCCGAAAGGATAAAGTTATACTCATCAATAGGTATATCAATTAGTGTACTAACAGATGATATGATATAATCTTTGCATTGTGGTTGAAATTATGATAATGAAATTATGATAACAACCATATCGATCATAACTCTAAAATATAAATCAATGAGTTATTGGCGTTACAATACAACGTAATTGCGTTTAATTTCAAAGACATTGTGTAGGAGAGGGTTCAAGAAAGGAGTTGGAAAATTCGAAGATCTTCGAAGATCCTTGAAGAACAATTTCGAATTCTCTAGAATATGATGAGAGGCTTAGATTCTTCAATAATCTCAACTTAGGAACACGACAACAATTAATCTAGGAAAGCAGGTAAATTAGCACGCAAATCCATGGACCGCCTCAGCTCTGTTCTAAATGATGAATGATGCATGCTCGAGTTGTTTAGCGCAAAAATCCATTACGACGTCCCGGTTTGCCTCTGTTTGCAATTGTTTTCGGAATATTGCGCAACGCTCCAGAAGGCTGCTGATTTCTGATTTACTACAACAGAGAGGAAGAAAGGGGCATGGCAAAGTATTTTCACATATATATGCATGACTACTCTTCAGAGAGTGTAGTCCTCGATCCTCGTGCCACTAATCACGCATCTCGATGCATGATGGCCGAGGAGTCGAATTGCATGACTCGATGTGAAATGAATGCACATATGAACATAACAAGACCTAAACTCCATCATGGGTAATCCTAAGTGTTGGCGACCGGGAATTGAGACACGTTCCGTCACTCAGAGTACGAAACGTCCCTCGTTTCCCGTGCTTGGGCTAACTCCTATCCCAAACACAATGCAAATGAGATGGCATACACAGTGCAACTAACATACAACCTAGCATACGCAATGTTATGAAATGGCATACACAATGCTCGATATAACATGGCATACACAAAGCTCTAACAGGCAACCTAGCATACGCAATGCTATAAATTGAAAAGGCATACACAATGCATAATGGACTTACACCAACATGAGTGAACCTCAGCCACACTTACATCAGTGGCCATTAGATGAAAATGAGACAACCGAAATGCGTGCACACATGCACGCATACCGAGGACCGAACCTAAGGTATCAAATGCCACTCTACCAAAGCATGGCAAGGGATGAAAGATGGCCTATGAACATGTAATTTCCAGCACTAAAATATGATGCTAAATGATCCCGAAACATGGAAATATGGCACCCGATGCTTGGAATAAGCCTCGAAACTCAATACTAGGCACATGCATTGAATCACAAGTATACAAATCAAGCATTATTTGATCATGAAGTCAAAAGACAGAGCCAAGGCAGTCCCAAAACATGCACATTTCTAGTTTAGAGCATGGCCAAAAGATGCTAACATGATGGACTAAAATAGCATGCAACATTGGCTAGCAAACATGGTTTACATGGCATGTATATGAAGCAAATGAGAACTCATCAAACCAGCCAAAAATAGTGAATAAAACATGCCAAAATATGCCCAAATAATCACTGAAATGCAGCCAATACATGCAAAAATGAGGGCCTTCTTTGGAAGGCCATTCAAGGGGTTGTTAAGCACATATAAGATAGACACTTAGCATGTCCAAACCAACTCTGGAAACGAGTTATGACAGCCCTAAAACTCACAAAATTGGCCCTGAAATCAGTCGAGAAAGCATACGATGAAAGGCCCCCTCAAAAGGCCTTGAATGGAATTGTTCTACACATGGACTATAGATATAAAATATGATCAAAAGGGCTCTAAAAAGACCTAAGGCAGACCTTAAAACCCACAAAATTGGGCCCAAAAAGTGACTTCAATGCATGCAA